CTGTTCTTTTCTGCCTTTGCTCCTAGTTACATTTCTTCACTGGGCAGCAAGTTTTCTGAACAAGGTGTATTGTTCAGAAAGGGCTTGGCCTCAGATATGTGGTGCACAAGAGTGTCAAGGCCTGGTCATACTGATACCACTGATTCCACCAGAAAGGGGGAACTGCACGGAGGCTTTGAGGAAGTGGGTAAGGTATAGGGGAAGGGGTCTGTGTGGTTACTGGTGCTACACACCACACCTGCAGTAGTGTAAAGGAGAGGACAATAATTGGGGATAATCCCTAGACTATGCTTGGTCAGTTGTTCTGCAGGAATCTGGTGTTTTTCTGTTTATTTTGAACTCAGCAGTAAATTATATCGCAAAGCTGAAAAGGGAGAGCTCAAGGAAGTACACTGGTCAGAGCTGCGCAAGTGAGGAAGAATGGATGTCTCTTTGAGGTTACTTTTGACAGCTCATTTTGTATTAGAAGCAGGAAAATCCAGGAAAATGAATTGAATGCCCATGTACAGAGATGTATCCATCTCATTATTGCCATGGAGGAGAAAGACGTAATTCACAGACTGGTTAAAGGGTTTGACCTTTCTCTTGAAACTTCAGAAGATGCCCTGTGTCTGGGAAGTCACGCAGATCTCGGCATGCTTCCAGGGTGGAGGGCATGGCGGAGGCTTTCTCAGTCTCCTGGCTTTCCCTGCTCCCAGGGATACTGCAGCTGCTGCCAGTTCACCCCACAAACCGAGAGCCCTCCAGTGGGGAAAGGGGTTCCCCTGGCTGGGTTGACATCAAGCCCTGTATCTCTAGCGGGATGGACGGTGCCAAGGGGCCCTGCCTCTCCTTTTGCATGCCTCTTGTTCCATCCTATCTGCTCGGGTTCCTCTCTGCATGTGGAAGTGATAGCCTGCGATGCAGTGTTATCTACAACCTGAACATCTCTAACTACTATCACCCTTCCTTTCTTGCCATTATCTTTTAAGCTGTAGTGACTCAATTGTATACTGATTTTTTGGATTTTTTCTGTTCTTTCCTTCTTTCCCGTTCTTCCTGCCCCCTCACTGTTTTGTGGAGGAGCTACTTCTCTCTGGGCTTGTATTTTGTTCAGGAGTCATCTACCTCGTGATGGAGCTTCTGGTTCATAGCAGGCTCTTTGTCTGTGTTGTAAGTTTAGCATATAGTATTGACGCTCCCATCCAGAACATCTGTGAAGTTGAGATGAAGCATCTTACGTGACTGTGCCAAATTGTTTATGCTAAAAGCTTGTCCATTTGACCATGCCCTGGCAGACACATGGTGGGTCGTTGCTGTGTGCCTGTGCACTGACACAGAGATTCCTTCTGACTTTAGATACATTCTGGTGAGGATGAAAAGTGCGGCTGAGACGGGCTACTGTTTCAACATCAGGAGACTCCGACTGCAGGAAAAACTGGTCCTGCTCAGATACGATCCCATCGGTAAGAGCTTGGGGAAGAAGTCAGCCTGCTTTGTATAAGCTTCTCTGACTGTGTGGGGCAAAAGAGTTGACTATAACAGGATTTTTCCCATCTAAGTAGAGTATGTCATAACATGTTTCATACTCGGATGACTGTACAGTTGCTGTTCTTCATGACATTCCAGTGGGAAGTAAACGTTACCCTCATTTTACAGACTGTGGCAGTGAAACAAAGTAATGGCTTGCCTGACACATCAGAGTCTTTGATGACAGCCATGCCACATGTCAGTGGCAAAGCAAAGTGACACAGGAGCTCTTTCATTCTGTTTCTTTGTGTGGTTTGCTAGACTGTGCTACCTCCAACAAGCAGCCACGAAGTATGCATCAATAGAAATGTTCTGTTAAGCTGCCACGGGTGCTCTAGACAATAAATTTTAACCATCACTTACAAAATGGACTTTTTCTTTTAAAGAAATAAACACAAGTTCTTTCTCCTCCACAAATGATATCGCTCTCCAGATGACAGTTTGTGGGTTCTTTTATGTTCCTCTGGTCCTTGCAAATTTTCTCAGTTTAAGAATCTGATTTGTTGGGTGGTTATAGCACTTGCCAAGTTGCCTTTTGCTCACCAAGCTTTTTGAAAGGTGACTAAGAGCTTGAGTTTCTGGTGGAGGAACCAGTCTGTAGTTAACATTAAAAAGCTTAATTTAACGTTAAAAAGCATGATCTGGGGAAACTTAGAATTTAAACCAGACCATGCTAGAAATAGCACGGGGGAGTTAATGCAAAAAAGGTTTATTTAGATCTATAGGATAAAGAAATATATCAAGCAGCTCTACGTAGATAACGTAATGCATGGCCAGTAGTTAGGTGGCTCAAGCTGATGTTTTTCTTATAATTTTATGTTCTTGTTAGATAACTAACTTTTTCATACTCAGATCTAACAGTACAGGAGCTGTATGGCAGGTGAGAGAAACCACCAGAGAAGCAGTATGCTCTCATCAAAGCACTCATGCTGACAGAGGTTGTGGCTCTCCTTCTGAATTCCTTACAGAAAGGGAATCGGAGATCACTGGGATTATTTTCTTGACTAAGACAAGTTTAAATTACTGCACTGAAACATTGTGCAAAGTGATCCTCCAGAAGCTTCGCAACTTGTAGGAAAAGTGAAGAGAGTGGAGAGCTGAGGCTAAGTAGCGCTTCTGTTGCAGAACATGTAGTAGGTTGTTGAAGTACGAAATTGGAAGTAATTAAGAAAAAAAGCTCTGATCTTTGTAGCCTGTAGTAGAACACAAGTGAGAAATTGATGTGAGAAAGTGCTGCATGTGTGAAGGGAAGTAAATTTGAGTCTAGATACCAACTCACATCAGGAATATGTTAGGAAGCATTTTCACTTGGCATCCATTTTCACCTTATGTTTTGTACTTCTCAAAAACCTGGGACCTCCACAGAATGAAGCTTCTTAGTGAAGTAGTGGCAGTAGTGCCCAAGTTTCACTACCTCCTAACTGCAGCAACAGAATGTGTTACTAAGTTGCAGTATTTCTTAAAGCGAAACTTTTATGTGGAAGAAGAGATTTGTTATTGCGTGGATTGCTCTTGCATAGCTTTCAAAGGAATTCGTATAATAAAGTTCAGTCAGAACAGCGGTGCTTTTCAAATGGCATTGTAAAGCTTTGCTTTGCTTTAGTTTTTAAGGTGGTTTTTTTTTTTTTTTTTTTTTAGTAATGCATTGGTGATGCTTAACCTGTAACTGAACTAACTTGGCTAACATCAGCATCAGGTGTTGCAAGCGGGGTCAGTTTGTGCCTCATTGAGAGATCCGCAGGACACTTAGTTAACTTCTCAGTCAGTCTGTGAGACCAACTAGATCCAGCTCATCATCTGTAGTTGTTTGGGCTCTGAAGTTGAAGAGTAGTAGAAAGCAGTAAGAACCTATTTTTGTCCCTGCACCAAGCAGCTGTGACTCAGAATAGTCACACAGAGCAGCTGTCGAATGTTTTCAGCCACTCAAATCCTGATACTTATTTTCACAGAGGTAAAATGGACCTCTTAGGAACTAAAAATTACATGTGGTAAAGTGAAAGCGCTACTAAACTCCTTCAAGAGTTGGTTAACAGCAGCGCTGTGCCAGTCAGTTGCTCCACGCTCACTTAAGCAGTGAAGGCAGCCAGGAGAAAGGGACGTAGGCTCGTTGAAATGAATTTTAACACTTCAGGCTTCTTAACAGATTCTTTTTTTCCCTATAGCAAAAAAACGTGTCCTCTTCACAGAAAAGAGAAAAATCCGCTCTATCTGAACAATGACTGGACTTGATTTATGCATGAGGAGATGATGGTGTGGGGGGAGGACAGGGTGAACGCTGATTCAGAAATCCAGCAGCATGGGCTGAAAAGAGAGGAAATGAACTGGGATCACCGTCTCCTGTGATTTGAAGGCCATTGTGAATAAACAATGTAGAGAGAGAAAATTCTTAATGTCTGGACATAGATCATCACAGTAACATTTATTTATCTTTTGAGTTATTTTTACAGTACTCAATTAAAAAAAAAATTAAATAGCAAATCCCATTGTCTGTGTTTTCCATTGTGAAAGAGGCTGTAATCTTCAAAGGAGCTATTGTTTTATAAGGCAATAAAAATTAACATTTTCCACAGAAGGAATTCAATGGCAGGATCGCAAGTTTTTCTAACCTACCAGCCACAGATTCAACAGTAGTGACCGCGAATTGGTGTCATTCCTTGGAGGGGTAGTGTTGCACCAGCTCTTTCCTAGGAAAGGAAGAAGCAATGGGAACCTGGTGAAACCAGATGAGCTTTTGGATAAGCTATGGCCACGGCTAGAAGGGTATACTATTTTCAGTCAGGTAAGTAGGATGGATTTTTCACTCCCGGATTTTTGTCAAGCAGGAAGAAAGTAGATAGCCAAAGTAGTTCTCTGATGTTTTTGGAAGTTGTTCTTCTTTAGTTAGCTCACCTATGTTTAGAGCAATATGGCTAGAAACATTTTTCAAAGTCTACCTCAGTAGCACTCTTGTCCCCTTTCCAGTTCAAGGGACCTTCCACGGTCTGGTGGAACGGCAGAGCGCAGTGCCGTGGCACATGGGAATAGAGGGGCCAGGGCTGGATCTACAGTGCCTGGCTACCAGCCAAACGCTGGCCTGGGTGTCCACAGCTGAGGACTGAAGTTGTGGTCTCAAAGCTAACGCTCTGCTTCATGCACTGCCATTGCACATCAATTGTTCTGATAAAATCAAGTAAAAATACTACCAGGAGCCCAATACCCTCCAGATGTTTCGCTGTAAACTTGATGTAGTTCAGTACAGCATGTTGTGTGGGATGGCCGCAAGCCCAATGGTTATGTGTGGGGCCAGGGGGACCTGCTGTGCTGTGTGTGAAAGACCCACTGCCCCCACCCCATCTTACTCTTGTAGAACAGGAACTCATAGGATTCCTCAAATAAAAAGCAAAGAGACTTTCCTGGTCTTTCCAGTCAGCAGAGGAGAACCTCGGTGCAGTCAGAAGAATAATGCTGTCTGGGATAAGATAAAATCAGTACGTTGAGCTAGACAATGTCAATTAGAAAAGGTCCTGAGGCAAGTCCTTCCTGTAAGGATATGAAGATTGTGTCCCCGATGCCTGGACGCTCACTGATGCGACACGGTTAGACTTCCTGATCATTTCCTCCATGGGTAACTTGGGATAGTAAGCCAGGTAGAAGGCCAGTGCTCCCACAAAACTGTCTCCAGCTCCCTAGAATAAAATAACAAACAAGTTTAAGCGTACTCACACAGGGAAACAATTCAGATGTGTTTACTGGAAAGACAAAAGTTGCAGCACTGAGTGCAGGAGTCAGGAAATTGTTCAGGGCTTCGAGTTCAATTCACTTTTCTATGCCTAGGAAATTCTGCTGTGTTAAACTAATGCCACGATACTATCTTTGTGCCTAGCTGTTGAATCAAGGTACACACTATAATATGGCTTAAATTTAAAGAAAAAGAAAGGCAAGTGTACTACAGTTCAGCAACATGCTGTTATAAACACTGCTTTTGAAACTTCCTGTTGTTGGAGTGTCCGATTTTGATTTCTCAACCCGAACGTTTCATTAAAGCTATTTTTCTCTGATTTAACTTCTGTTTTTCATAAAGGGCAGTGGTAGAAAGGACAGAGAAAAGGGGAAAAAAATAAGCCATGTGGCTTGTGGTGTCTGTAAATTCCTAGTTGCAGAATGATACATTTTGATGCCTCCAGAACTTGGCTGTTGTTACGAAAAAGGTCCCAGTAACAAAGGTCTATGCTGTGTCTATCACATAAACTGCTCTTATTCCTGGGGCAAGCTTTCCCACCTGTGCTGGGTCTGACCACGGCGGTGGAGGGCAGTGACATTCACTGGGAGCTCTGGCAGCCGTGGCCCTCTCATGTCTCCCCACGAGAGCTGCCTGATGCTCTGCCCGCCCCGCGCAAGCCCTCGGCAAACAGGGAGTACAGTACGCCTTCCCCGGGCCGTGGCTCACTCTGACCCCCTAGCCCAGACACCGCTAGTCCTGCTCTGGTCAGCGGGGAATGGCAACTGTTTGCCTCCTGAGTGCTTTTTAACAATAACTGTTGTCTTGCGATGTTCGGCGCGCTGTAGCGTCCCCGACAACTGGCAAAATTAATCTTTTTTAACTTGATTTGCTCATTTCATTCCACAGTGTCCCTTCTCCCTCCTCCCCTAAAACTGGCTTGATTTCTAAGGCCAGACTGATAACAATTCTCGTTGGCACCATAAAACTGGTTCCAAGGTCCCCTTTTTTTAATCATACTTTTATACCAGTAAAAGCATTACGCTGGAGACACTGGTAGTATCTTATTTCACTCGAGAACCAGCATAGGGACTATCTCCCCTGAGGGGTTTTGCCTCTGTAGTTGTAATAAATAGGCCCCAAGAGTCATGGGACAAGAGCAAAGGGCCTGGAAAAAGTTAGTTAAGATAGCTGAGCAAAATTTCTAACTGGAAGTTAAGGCTAGGAAGTAATTTTCCAATTTTGAGTTCTAGTGGTTCTCAGTGTTAAACTCCTACTTACCCTAAAATCAGCTGCATATAATATCATTCCAGAAAAAAAATACCATTTCCACAGAAATCTGTTTGCGACATTACAAGCAGCTGACAGGGCAGAGCAGCGTGGCAATTGCAAGGGAAGCCCACGCCATGCCTTGTCTCTCCTGGCCCAACCCTTCCATAGCAGCTGTTTGCACTGGCGTTCCCAGTCAGGAAACTCCCTGCTTAACTCTTGCTTAGCCTGAAGCATGGATGCTGTCTTCCATCACCTTCACAGTGGGGTAAGACGTAGAGTGTCGCCTGGCAAATTACAAGTTAATAAACAAAGTTGTACCAGCACCTGTTTCAACAGTTCTGTGTTCCTGAACACACCAGGGGCAGGCGACAGCTTTTATCCATTTCTGTTGGGCCTTTGTCTCCCTTCTGGTTTCCAGAGTGCTCCCACAATGGCAGGTGGAGCAGGAGCAGGTGACTGCTAGTTAAGCATTGCCAGTGTCTTTTGTCTGATGCATAATACAAAAATCTCCAGCCCATCACAGAGTTTATAATCTAATCGGCGCATGATTAATTATTAAAGTATTTTGGCACTGCTGTTACATACAGAAGTAGAATTTCAGCAAGCAGATCTGTTAAGCTGTAGCTCTAGCAGGAAGAACTCGTCATTTTTACATCAAATATTTCTCATACAGTGATCACTGGGTAATGGAAGTGGCCAAATACTATTTTAATGAGGACTACTCAGAATATCTGGTGTCAAATAGCATAAACTATTACCTGGCAGCAGCATGGAGCAGAATACTGTCTTTTTGCTTGTTTTTTTTAACGGAGGTAACTAAATACTGCCCCAAATAGTTGCTGCATGGTTTGCCATTGGAGCAAAGAAAGACGAACCGCACGTCACCCAGGTCTTAGTTTGGATGGATGACGGTGAGACGGAACGGAAGTTCTCCCTGCAACATCACCATGCCTCTCCACTTGAGGGTGATGTTCTGAGGTTGTGAGGTGGCTGTAGATCTGCCTTTTGGCCAGGCTGAACAATGTTAAATGACTACAAAGGTGGAAAACGGGATGAATGGCAGACTTCCATACAGAATGGAAAAAGGCCCCCTAGTATTTTTTTGCAAGAGAAAAGATTATGGAAGATTGAGGAATATACAGAAGGATTTGATGCCAGTAAACTTTTGCTGAAATCCTTACTTCCCATGCATTGGCTGAAGCAGTCAGTATCTCTAAAGCTCAGATGCTACAGACCCCAAGGGTATCATAAACTCAGTTGTTGGTAAGTAAACATTTTGTGTGGTGGGGTGTTTTCGATATAGGAGCTACTACACTGAAAACAGCGGCGTGCATCAGGCTGACTGTAGATACCCTGTTCAACCTTGCTTCTGGTCTGTGCAGACATGACTGGTCAAACGTGACTTAAAGAGCAATAGCAGAACTGATTCAGCTGCAAGGTTAACTGCAAGTAAGAACTATTTTTGGCTTACAGAAACAGACCTTCCCTCTTTCGTATTGTGGATTAAACTACATTGGGCTTGGTAGATTCAGAAAAGGTCAGCACAGAGCAGAAGAAGGAACAGGCTAAGAGTAAAATCAAGATTATCCGAACTCCGGATTAGCAACTATTAGCTTTACATTTAGCTGTTTCAAAACCTGCTATAAGGGAAAAAAAAAAAAAACCTTACTTTGCAAAAATAATGTATTTTGAAAATGACCAGTAAGGTGCACTTATTCTGCCTACTGACAAAATACAAACACAGAATATGTAATATTTTACATTCTTCAGCATTTGTCTTCCAGGAATCCTAATACACTGCAGACTTTGAGATAATCCTCATATCCTTGAGTGCCTGGAGACAATTCATTCCATAATTATAAAAATATAACTTGTTTAACATTTCTCTAAAGCAGAAGACGCTAGTTTGTATGAAATAAAATAAAGAATTGGATCAGAAAAATTGGCTGATACGGCGTGGCTAGTTCTAAAATGCAAATGTTACGGTTTTGACTAAGTTTTATGGTTTTGAAAACTTATTTATATTCTGTGCCACTAGTCTGGAAGGTCCTTGTTTTCCTGTGTGTCTGGAAAAGGGCATTTTTGTTTTTTACAATCCAGCACTGATTGAGATTCTGTGCCTCTAGAGAAGAGAAAACCCACGAAAACACTTCTATTTATACCTTAGCTTTTGTTAGTCCTGATTTGTCAGAAGCTGGTTCACAACTTTAGTATAACTATTTTTATATGATGCTGCCCTGAGAAGCTTTTTAAGGAAAGTGCTTTGTAAGTGGAAACTATATTGTTCAACAGTCTTTCCAGCAAGTAAAGCATTTTTCAATCAGTCACACGTAGAATAATAGGATGCTTTTCACTTATAGAATAAGATGACTTGTTCACCAAAAAAATTTGGAGGCCAGGAGGCCAAAAGCTACAGTTCACAGTGTCACAGCAGTTGTAGTGCCTTGTTCCAGGGCAACCTCTTGCTCAGCCTTCGCCCTCCCAGCCTGTCCTCTTGGGCAAGAGTAATGGCAACCATGGAAGAACAGGAGGGGGCTCTGGCTCCTGAAGCCTGACGTTGTTACTGACCCTCAAAAAACCCTCACAGTCCATGTGCACTCTGCATATTACATGGATTCATTCTATTAAATACATTGTAAGAGCATGTTACCAAGTCCTAAAAGGAATGATGTGTTGTATAGCAGCGCAAGAGAAACATGAGGCATGCCTGTAATGATAAATTCTTCGTTTAGTGAATAAATCAAAACATCAATCCAAAAGCTGGCAAAAACTGCCTTATAACGTAGACTCAACGATATTGCTTGCAATGATGCTTCTGTCTCCTAGGAGCATTCACAGCAGTGCTCAAATGAACGAAGCCTGAGGATCACAGTGATGTAGTGCAGTCTAAATGCATGGCAATGCGGAGATGCCCAACTCCGTGGAAGGAACTGGGCCCTGGAGAATTCCTGTTGTATTTATAGCACTCCATAACCGTGTGATACTGGATTATGCTAAGGATGTTATCGCTCTGCGTCACATCTGCTCAACACTCTTTGCTGTACCCCTGCCTGCTCTGTACCCGAACTACAAATTAGCCCTACGTAAAACGAAAATATCTGTCAGCGAAGACGCTCACTATCGTAAGTGGGGAAAGCCTATGTCTCCCTACAAGAATCCCTGGACTGTGCTTTGATGAAAGGTTACTAGTGGAACTGGAGAAACATTTCCAGCCTTTGGGATATATTCAGACACTCTTGTGCCAAGAGGGTCTATGTCTCAGCTAAGAGATAATTTCAGCTGAAATGCTCAGGCAGTAAAATATCTCTTGGTAACAGTGGTTGAATCAGTTACGCACAGGTTTTTTTTCCCATCTTTATTTTTATGATTTCCTTCTCCCTGAAAGAGCCCATGTTTATCCTCTATGTGATGGAGAATAGTTTATTTCTGGAAATGTTACTGGCTGTTTTTTTGACTTTTGCATTTATTTGCCCGTGCAATACTGTTTTTTGTTTTTTATTTTTGGGGGGTTTAATATTGCCCCCCCCTTCACTTTTCCTTATGTTTCACTGGAGAGATATTTTGGCAGTTTGAAGTAAGACAGTCTTTAAATTAAACTAACTCCGTTATCTTGAAACTGTCCTGAAATTAAACAAATTTGACTATCTTCAAACTATTTCCTAAGCTCAAGGCCTAACAAGGATGACTACTCCCATG